CTCCCTGTTACGTTGCAAAGATTTAATTCTCTCTTTTACTATTACACAAATATGTGCAAACTTTAACTTATAAGCTGTCTGCCTTAATCATTTTTCAGTTTCTTTTGGTTTGGACTTGCCTTTATTTAGAAGTAGTGATATAATATTAAGTTAATAAATAATTTTCTTACTTTCAGGTAGAAAGTGGTGATCTTATTGCCTATGGTCTCATTCCGGAATTCATTGGCCGCTTCCCAATTTTGGTCAGTCTATCATCATTGACTGAGGACCAACTAATGCAGGTAACATTCCTTATGAGTTGTGATAACATATGATGATGTTATTATGGTGAATAATTGCTTGTACATACAAAGATAACTCAATTCCTTTGTGAATATAGGATCTTTCCTTGTATATGAGCTAAAAGTTAACTGAACTAATGTTCAAAGTTTCACCTATTGTTTTCCCTCTCCCTTTTCAAAGTTTTAGCACTTGGCCTTTTTATAACATGTTGGCGAATTAGGTAAGCTCAGTACATTTGTATGTCTAGTTTGTTTGTAGGCCTTTGAGATCCTGTCATATTGACTGGATGTTATCTATGGTGTTATTTGTTCTACCTGTCTATTTATGCATGGAAGATTGGAAGGGCATATAATTTTCTTTTGAGAATATGTCTCAGTTTCTGTTTGATTGGGAGGAAGTGTTGATGCTAGAAACTGGTATGGCTTACAGCACTAACAATGGCAGAAAATAAGAAGAAAAATGCTTATTATAGTATTAAGATGAGAATTACAGCTAATTGAACGATAATTCCACTTTCGAGAGGTGGATTCTCTCCCAATATGAGCTTTCGAGAGGCTCACTCTCTCCCAATAACAAACCTCACAATATTCAACATATTCTTATTCTTCCTAATGAGACCTATTTATAGAAAATCACTCCTAACAAACCTCTAACTTATTCCCCGAGTTACTACTAATTGACTATGACTAACATGCCCTCCCCTAAATATTGATTCCTTGCAATTTACTTTTTACCTTGTGTGTAATCAGTCAATCTTGGCTTGATTGGTGGAAAGTATTTTACTTCATCTGTATACTAAGGATAAGTAGCAGAGATATATAGAAAGACACCAAGGGTGTATCATCCATGTATTTAAGGAGGGTTAAGGAAAATTATTCATGTGCTCAAGCTATCATGAAACTTTGATGAGCGAAGGCTATGCCCTCAAAATTCATCGGTTTCTTTGTTTCCAAGTTTACCACCAAGTTGTCAGTAAAACCATCTTCCACATTTCATCAAGCCGACCTTTTTTAACCTTCTTATGTCTCCTTTTTCTATGATGCCAACTTCATGCAAGATATGTCTTTAGATAGCTTATGTGATTAAATTTTGCTTCTCACCCCCCCCCCCCCCTTCCCAATCAGACAGAGCCTTAGTTGTACGTGCTTCTATTGTCTTTAGATAGCTTATTCCTCATGTGTAATTGTGTAAAGGGTTCAGTTTTGCAGGCTCATGTGTGCACTGAGGTTTTTTGTTTGCTATCTTTGTCTATGAAAAATCCAATTCAAGTAGCTGTTCATTTGCTGATCTAAATTGTCTCTGCAGGTCCTTACTGAACCAAGGAATGCTCTTGGGAAGCAGTATAAGAAATTGTTTACTATGAACAATGTAAGATTTTAGGCACTTATCTTTGTTACCATCCTCCCTCTCTTAAGCTTTTGAGCACATGAATTACTTATCATGAATGATGATCTTGCATATTATGTTAATTTCTCTTATAATTTGCACATACTTGAAAGTATTTTATCTTGCTACACATATAGCTATTCGAAATCATGGCCTTATTCTTCAATTCATTGATTTGTGCATATCTTTTATTTCAATACTTAGGTGAATCTTCACTTTACAGAAGGGGCTCTGAGATTAATTGCCAAGAAATCAATGGTCAAGAACACTGGTGCAAGGGGTTTAAGATCCCAACTGGAAAGTGTACTAACAGAGGCTATGTATGAGGTATGTGGTTCCTGTTAACATATGTGGAATGTGGGTATTGAAAACTGTAATAACCTGATATTTGTAATACTTATATGAAGGCGTGTGCTCATCTGCAGATCCCAGATATGAAGGTGGGAAATGATGAGGTAGTTGCTGTGGTGGTTGATGAAGAGTCTGTGGGCTCTGTTAATTCTTCTGGATGTGGGGCCAAAATTTTTCGTGGAGATGGTGCATTGCAACACCATCTTGCCTATGTTGATGATGGAGTATGTTAATCTAGCTTTTGTAGCGTTGTTGCTGCTCATAACCATCTAAGGCTCTGTTCTTTCAACTGTACTTACTGGACCTACTTTTGCTGAAGTTTGATTTTTTTGTTGAAAACCTATTCTGGCTGAAGTTTGATTGTTTTTACTAAAATAGAACAGAGGCTTAGTAGGTATTTGTAGAATACAAATCATAGCAATGATTAAGGGTCCTATTATTTTGTTTCTGCCATTAGTGTGTTTGATGGACAGAATGTTTATCTGTCAACTGACTTATGCCCAATTGTTTTTTCTGCAGGAAAGTGCTGAATCGGTGATCAAAGAGCTGCAAAAGGGTAAAAGAGGGATTATTCAGACAGGTATTAGCGTATGATATAGGATGGAGTTTGTAGAAGCAGCCAAATCTAGAATTTGTCATACTGTCAAATTCTTTTTCACAATTGTTAGCTTCCTCTTTACTGATCTTGCTTGTAGGGTTTTCAGTCTTTACCCTATATCTTGATCTTCCTAGATCGAGTAGATCTTGCCAATCAAAGATCACATGCTAGGATGTGGTCGTTGTAGTTATACTGTTACAGATATTATTCTTCCTCTCATTCTTATTCATTACCAAGGAATACAGATAGGCAATGGAAGTTCATGTATACTGTTCACCTCACCATATGATATCAGCGATTGGGTTCAAATACAACAGTTGGAGCCCTATACACTCGACTGATTCATTGTCTAGCAGTGAAGTTTATATACAGGCAGTTATTTCTTTAGATTTTCAATCTCTTAGGATCAGACGATCAGTTGTATCTTATTACCTTTTTGTAAGCATTTTTTTGACAACCAATTGTAAGCATTACTGTTTATAATTTCATAATAATATCCAAATATTTCAGATTCCTGCACTTTACACTGTAGTACTGTACTGTACTGTACAATTATTTTTTTCAACGTCAAAATTTACTTAAGTGGCAAATGGGACCCAAAATAAAAGGAAGAAATGAAGAATTCTTTTGTTCTAAACTTTTAATGAAGTGCGCTTATTGAGTTCCACGCAAAGATCTTACTTCCTAGTTCTCATGTCAAGTAAGGCATAATTACAGGTTACATTTAACATTTGTTGTAATTTTATATTTTTGGTATATTAAATTAATATTTGACTTTAGTTAATAATACTTCATTAACTTTGGTACTAGTATGATTGAAAGTTGTCTGTCTTGAAAAGTTGGCGTAGCAGTTTCAAGTTGGGCAAGACATCAAGCATAATTTGGTTTAATGGTGGGAGCTTGAGCTTTTAAGTATTCAGGTTCTAAGTTTGGTTACCTCTACAAGTGCATGTGGGAATGCATCAGTTCGTAAATGAACTGACTTTAATATACGTGAGATAGGTGGGTCAGCAGAATTCATGCAATCATGCACATTAATCCAATCAATTATTAAATAAGAAAACGAAGAAAAAGGTTAATGAAATGACGATAAAATCATATACTATAATTTGATGCTTATAAATTAGTAATTTTAAAATGAACTCAATTTTATTTTATACATATTATTAGCAATAAAAAAAATTAAATCATACAAGTCAATGTGGAGTCGAGAAGTAATATATATCTTTATCTATGTTTTTTTTTTTTTTTTTGAATACTCTTTATTAGTGAAATTGGTATAATGTTCATAGGTCACTTTCCACAATCCACTTCATTTATTTGTGATTTAATATTAATAAAATTGGAAAAAATTCATGGAAATAATCCCACCTTTGGGTCATTCGTTTTTAATAATCCCACCTTTGAGTTATTTTTTAATAATCCGACCTTTACCCCCCATTCTTTTTTATTGGTCCCAACCGGTCATGTAACCTGTTATAAAAGGTTGCATGACACGTGGCGACCTGTGATTGGCCAAAAATAAAAATAAAAAAAAAACAAAAAAAAAACAAAAAAAAAATAACAAAAAAAAAATAAAACAAAAATCAGCCAGCCACCATGGAGGCAGGGAGCCAACCCAGCCACCAACCAGCCCCCTCTTCACTCACGCACCACCCTAACTTACCCTCAACCTCCACCATCACTCACCGCCCAAACTCGAATCAACAACAGCAGCCCAGCAGCTCGCCACTGCTGCACCTGCTCGTCACCCTGAAGCACCACACCACCACCAATCGCACCCTCATCACCTCCCATTTCTCCACCCATTCACAGCAGCAAAACCGCAGTTAAGCACCACCATTTTGGCACACAAACAGCCTCGCAATTGGCAATTACGCCCATGCCCCAATTCAGCCAAAGAATCAAGGACTCTTGAGCAGGCGCTCAGCTATATCGAAGCGGACACTCCTATTTGTTCAATGTTTTCAACTTTGAGACAGGAAGTTCAGAGCGGTAGCTTCGAATGGTATGAGCATCTGCTCCATTTTCGCGTGAGAAATTGTACAAATTAATGAAATTGGACGGCCACGATTCCTTTAATTAATCCAAAGGCAGAGATTTTGCTGATGCTTGTTGATGATGTAGCTGATTGAAGGTGATGAATGGTGAAGATGATGGTCGATGATGATTGAATGATGATGAATGAATTAGAGCAGCCAAAAATGAATCGAAGAGGAGGGGATTAAGGAGTCTGATATTTTTTTTTTTTTTTTAATTTTTATTTTGGGCAGCAAATTGTGACACGTGTACATTAATAAAAAAAAAAATTACCTCCTCAACCGGTTTCAGGTAAAATGGGACCAATAAAAAAGAATGGGGGTAAAGGTCGGATTATTAAAAAATAACTCAAAGGTGGGATTATTAAAAACGAATGACCAGAGGTGGGATTATTCCCATAAATTTTTCCAATAAAATTTGACAATATAGATAATTAATTTCCCTACATTATGTACTCATAAAAAAAAAAAAGAAAAAAAAAATAGTGTCAAACAAACCTCCAAAGAAGAGCAGTAATAAGAATGAAAAAAAGCAGAGTCCAAATGAAATGAGAGGAAGAAGAAGAGGAGAGAGAAACAAGTTAAGTGATCAGACGATGAGTGGCGCAAATGACAGAGACGCTGACAAAGGGTTACTCTGGAAACTTCCTGAAATCCAAACCAAGGATTTCGGCAAAATCGGCCCTGCTTTCAGCTTCGGAGCTGGCTGTGGTTTCGGCTTCGGTCTCGGAGTTATCGGCGGTAATTCCCTTTCCATTCAACAATATTTTAATTCTGTAATGCGATTTAATTGTTAATTTTGTGCACTGAATTGTTAATTTGAGCTCAAAAATTGAAATTGTTGAAGGAATTATTTTTGTTGATTATTTGAAAATTTGCTGAATTTAATGTTTGCAAGCAGATTAATTGAGAATGGAATATGCAAAGGTGATATTGTGTTTGATTAATTTATGTTTCCTTAAATATTGTGTCAATTTTTTAGGCCCTAGTTCTTGATGGTAATTAAAATTTTAGAGCTTAGCATGTGAGATACTTGTATGTGTACCAGTTCTCGAATTTGTGTATTTGGGTTTTATGACTACAAGTATTCGAAATGAATTTGTGTTTGGATTACGGGTTTGATCATTTTCATTTTAATGGTTTAATGCCTTAAGTTGAAGTGCCCTTGAGGCATGGTTGTTCACAATTTTTATAAAAGATCAAGGCCATAGTACGGAGGCAAGGCGCGTCTTTTTGTAGATTGGTTGTTCATACCTATGTTGATGTACTAAAATTCCAATATGGGATACTTGAAAGGTGAAATGAAGAGTCCGTGTGACATTAGTTGGATGTACAATTGTACACTAATACTGAACTAAATTATTCATTAGAGCAAGACTATGCTTTGATGATACCATGATACTAGCATCTTTATGATACAAGTTGATGCTTTGTTGCTTAATGCTAGCCATAAAAACTATTGGTAGTTAGGAGTTATAAGTCTGTAATATCTAGATTTTTTGCCTTTTCCTAATTTCTGTTTGTTTTCTCAGGTTTTGGCATTGGCCCTGGGATTCCTGGACTGCAGTTAGGTTTAGGCGTTGGTGCTGGATGTGGAGTTGGTTTAGGTTTTGGATATGGAGTTGGCAGAGGTGTTGCTTATGATGACAGAAAAAGATATTCTAACATTGGTAGACCTTTTAACGGTTCATATGTTCCATCTCAGTAAGTATATCTTCTTTTCTTTGTCCTGAAATGTTTATCTGGCTCAATTATCTCAGTGTTTTCTTTGTACTGAAATGTTAAATTGGTTTCTTATTTTGCTTTTAACTCCCTCCAAACTCCAAATTGATTGAGGCCAAATCAGGCTGTAGGACAAATATTGTTCGAATTTCTTTTCATTAGCGAAAATGCATTTGTTGAGTGTCATTATTAGAAGCCTTTTCTGATGTACCATTTGAGATTGATTTTGTTTGGTTATGAGTATTGAGATAACATAATGAAGAAATTGAAAAACACTGTCCAGTGTAGTTGTCTATTTCTTTATTTGATATTGTGATCAAACAACTCGTGCCTTGGGAAAAGAGGGGTGTTTGCAATATGAAAGCTACCATGTCTAATATTGTGGAGGTGGTAAAGACTGAGCTTCCTGGCTGAATGTTATCCAATATCAGCAACTTTTGAATCCCAATTTTATCTTGTGAGTTGTGACCGGAGTGATGCAATTCTAGAAGATTTGGGGTTCTAGAAGATTAGCTGTTATTTTATCTGGATGGCTAGACAAAGACCACATCACGTATCCAACTGCTCACTATTTTTGAAAAGATCATCAATCCCAAATTGTCCTTAAATTATTAATACATTCTCCTTTTAATGTTATGAAAGGAATAGGTCACTATAGGGGTCTAATGTGTTGATAATTGACATTATTTGGGATTTTTGTCAATTTAGCCAGTTAAGTGTTAAAATCTTTAACTGGCCTGCTAAAACATATAAAGGAGAAGACTGTTGATGCACCTCAAAACTGCTGTCACTATGTGCAAAGATTATGAGTCGATATATTTACTATCGTTCCTTCTCTCCTAAGTATCCTGACTCCTTTTATCAGGAGCATAAATCTTCTAGTACTCATCCTCTCTCTTTACTGAAAATAGCATCCCCATCAATTGCATTGTTGTTTCAATTGCTACCTTTTTCTTTTCCTTAACTAAATGCATATCACTCTTAGATATTTATCCTCCAAACTGAGAATAGTGCCATCATCAGTTGCCCAAGCACCATAAATTGCAGTAGTTTGTCAGAATTAAAAGATCTGTATATCCCTTGAACATAACTTGTTTCTAATTTGGTGAAGCATCTCTTCCGGTTAGCTTATTGATGCTTCAATGCTTTTCAAAGGCTATAACCTTTCTAGCATGAGTAGATTCTGCAACTTTCTTGAATATTAGGTATTTTTCTCCTTGAAAAATCTGATTAACAGCTGTAGCTCTGTAGTCACTTACTGACTTACATATTCTTTTACAAATGAAACTATGTCCAGACTAAGCAAGTAGTAGTAACTATTAGTTCAACATCTCAGCTTCTGAAAGTTTTATTGTTGATAAACAGATCACACATTATGCTTCATATTCTCTGGAAAGCTGAGCTATAACTTTTAAATGGGGTCCAGAATATTGTCAGGACACATTACTAAATAGTCTGGTCCTCAAATCTGATAACTGTATTTGCATTTGTATCATGAACCAAAGTCTTCACTCCCTAAAGCTACCATAGAAGAGAGTATATTAATTTGTCTTGGATAAATTGTATAGTACAACCATATGAGGATTCTCTAAAATTTCTGTAAATTCTATAAATGGGAGGAATGTGATCTGCTTTTTGGCAACACTTTGTAGGCTAATTGTTCTAACTTATGATGCATAATGTGTACATTGTGAAATTATGATATTAGATTTGTATCCAGCTTTAAATTTTTGGAGTGAAAAGGTTTTCTTCTTCAGTATGTCAGGCTGGGATTAAATGTTCACTTGGTTAATGCTTTAAAAGATATAGCAGTTCAAGTTAGCCTGATTTATGGCCTAAATTTTCATACCTACCTTTGTCGCATTAGCCATTTGGTTAATTTTGGTATGTGTGCTTTCCAGTAATGAGGTAGGTGCACTGGTGGATGAGCTTGTCATCAACACCAAGAAGCTGATGGTAGCAGCTTCAAAGGAAATGGACAAATGGAGACGTTAGACAGAAGCATCCCAGGTCTTAATATAGGTAAAACCTTATCATGTCTTCTAAGTCATTGATTCTGAGGTGGAGCACATTTAAATCCTCCAACAAAAATAATTGTAGAGCCTTATACTTGTATATTGTTGAAATTATATTATGTAATTTTCTGCTAATCTTGGTTCAAATAATTCTATTCCAATGTATTGAATTCACAAATCTTTTCTTTATTTTGTTCTTTTTTTTTTTTTTAATTTTTTTTTAAGATTATTTTTGCTGTGCTTATTTATAAATAGGTTACTGATGCAAATAACATGAAGAAAAGTAGCCAATATGGCATGCCTCTTCACTTGTACTGCCCCGAATTGTGTCATATTCTTTTTTGCTGCTTAACTATTGGGTTAATGGGGTTATGCAAGAAAATGGACGCCTTTGTTCAGCTTAGATAACTAGTCTGCATATTTCAGGTCTTGAGACATGAATTATCAGAGGAAATAATGAAGTACTCGGATTATGTAAATGTATTAACCCCCTCGCTCCCCTAAAAGTACTCCAAAACAGAGAAGGCTTCCATAATACAGATTAACAAAAAGGTACAGTAAATAAATTTTGAGCACCCACTTAAGTTTCTATTCTACCTTCCTGTATCTACACCTTGATAGACCAGGCTGGTAGTCTCAGAGATCTACATTCCAAACTGCAGCATCTCCTTCTCCACAGGAATCATGTACGTCTTTCATCCTCTCGACTGATTTGCATATTCCACTGCAAGACCAGTCAAATGAAGCTACACATACGTTTCCTGCTTGTGATTTCCATTCACAGTCTTTGACATGTTTGAAAATGAGAATTCAAATTAGATGTATGGTAAAACAAACTAATAATAGGGATTCATGGTCAATGCTTGTTCTCAAAGACCATTTCGAAATTGCTTAGACAATTATCAAGGAACAGAGGAGAGGTAATGGCATACCTGGAGGTGTTCCACAACACATGGAACGATCATCGACATGTTCAACTTCCAAGCCAAATAACCAGGCACCCAGAGAAACATCTTCATTAGCATAGCGGTGTAGAATGGGTCTGTGGACATGATAAATCATGTTGTAAAATAAGATGAAATATCAGTTGCTCGCTGCTAATACTCCGTAGTATGAGTACTGTAGTTTAGTAAACTGAAAACTATATAACTCACGCATTAATAGATATGTAACTCGCAAGGTCCCTGGAAATGGCGTAGATTTGACCAGTAGCATGTCTGAAATATTTGTTTCCCTCTTCTCCAAATTTCCAGTGTTCTGGTTCATGATACTTCACACCTCTGCACACAATGTAAGAATTATAAGTTATTAGATGAATTTTGTGAACTAGCTACAAATTTTGTGATACTGATTTGTGCATGCTCTGTTTTCTCTTCTTATTAATTTTGAAATGTTGATGTTTATGCATATTAGTACAATAATACTCACTTCTGAGATAGAACAGGTCCAGACTTCATGCAGCCAATATATATCCTGGGTTTTGATCGGTATCTTGCTAGAGAAGTGACTAATGTGCCTACAACAGTTTTGCAGGATTAACACACTGCGTTAGAATCTGAAGATGTAATCGAATATGAATGTGAGAATCTAATAGCAGTATTTATTTTACTGACCCAAATTTAAATGAACATCATCATCGATTTTCATATAAAACTCTGCATTCCATAGAGAAACTGCTGTGGAAAAATACAGTCGCGTCTTGGTGGAAAGCTCATGGTAACCTTCAACATGGTTGAGGCGAAGGAAGTCGTCGTACTCTGCTTCTTCTGCATCAATTGTTTTGTCAAGAACTCCTCCAGGTGTTGCACTGTGTCCTATCACAAACCGAATCACTATGCCTTTTTCTTGCTCCAATTTCTTTAGTTTCTCGCCTGCATCATGAACTAAGCTGATAAGGTAATTGTATAACACAATAATAGTTCTAACACACTTAAATTTCTCACCTTGAGGCATCCATGTTTCTCTGACAGATTCTCTCCGTCTTCTGCTACTGAATGCAGTGTTGATTCCAATCACCACGAAAGCCTTCTGTAGAGTATGATTAGATGCCTTTTCACCTGTTATTTTGGGGTCTGCTTGATTCGTCCGAGCTACAGCTAGCTCCATTTCCAAAGCTGAGATTTTCTTATCCAGGGATCTTCATCATTTTTGTTTGCCAGTTCGATGTATAACAGCTATAGTTAGTTCTCGGAAACAAGATTATTCTTAGGATAAAACTAAAGATAAATGTCAACTTCAGGTTCTTAGGATAAAACTAAAGATAAATGTCAACTTCAGGAAAAAAAATTGCTTACTGAATTGCTTGGTGTGTCTTAGCAACTTCCCCCATAATATCTCCAGGTTTTCCTTCAACCAAAATCTGATTAATTCATAAATAAAAAAAAAAAAAAAAAACAAAAACAAATTTAGCACTCAATATCTAGCTGCTGAAAAAACCATAAGCTGCTCAACTTACGCGCTTATTATGATCCACATTCTTCGCCATTGCTGTGGCTTGGAGCTTCTTAGTTTTAACGTGGGCAGGGATGAGTGCAACCTGTTCTTTAACCTCCGATTTATGACGGCTCCAAGTCTGACTAGTAAAGAGTGTTCCCGCCAGAAAGCTGGCAATGCAGAGTAACACTATAGCTTTCCCAGGAACAGCTTTTCCTCTCATCTTTTTGGATTCGATATCAGGCTGCATTGGTGACACCATTACGCACATAATCAATCTTAGTCCTGCAACCAGCTTCTTTTATTCCTGTCAAGTTTCAGTTTTCGTAAGGCTATCAACTTAGCAGTATCACTACATTCGTACGTGCAGTTAATTACTGTATAATGACACCTCCAAATATGCTATTTACCTACTTCAAATTAATTATTTTTATGAAATAGCTTTATTCTTAGTTTCTTAGTACATATCTATCAATAGGCACTTAAATGGAAGTCAATTTACTAAAGTATAATGCAAAATTATGGGCAGGAAAATGGAATTTCTTGTATAAAGAAAATACTCCCCTTTTTTTTTTTTTTTTTTTTTTTTTTGGTAATTTAGTTATGTACAATATAACCAAGGACATTTACATTTTACAGATAAAATATGGGGTTGTTCTTTTTCTTTTCAGGTTTACCCTAACTCATAAATTTTCAGTTACCCATCAAAGTGCCATAAAAGTTACATGATCACTATAGTTTGTTGCATGAGATAGAAGCAAGTGGCCTAAGAAATTCCAGTTTTGGCCTAAAAGAATTTGTGGTAATTTTGCTAGTTAGTAGCAAGGTAGGTAAATATTTAGTCTGACCTTTCTTCCAAGGATAGTACTTCGAATATAACTCAGAGGTAGGAACAATAATTGAAGTGATCATGGTAGAAAACATATAATTACAAATAGACTAATAATTTATATTTGCCGAGAAGTTAATTAATTACTCTCAATGCAAGAAAAATGAATTACACAGAATAAGGTAAAGAAAACAAAACATTCGAGTAACGAGCCAGCAACAAACATACTATGTATAATAAATAATTTTAACATCTATATGCTGTAACTTTTTCTCAAGGTCAAATAGGAAGATTAAAAGAAACAAGACCTTAAACTTGAATTTATTAGAACTGAATATCATTAAATTTGTCGTACATAGAGAGGAAAATCAAAAGAAAAGAAATTAAAATTCGACATAAGATGAAATAGCCTATAGGGAAAGTAAACATCCAAAAAAAAAAAAAATACTAGTAAAAGGAAGAGTAATATACCTTATCATGGCTGACATAATGACTATACTAGCAACAGACTAGTAGACATTCCTCTTTATATACGTAGTATTTAATTTTTATACATTTTTCCCCTAATTTTGCTGAATTTTCTCACAAGCTATTTTCTTACAAAATCTTCTATTTTTCAAGAAAAATTTGTAGATGAATAAACAATGAGCTTGAATATCATGGTAGCTCTCATATTAGATGGTCGAACTTCTGCTGCTAGCTAGGGTGGTAGTTTACTCATGTGGTTTACATGGTTTAACAAACACTTTTTTTTATATTTTAATTTAATATTATAGCCATTCAACTTCAACTTCCTTTATTTGTGGCTTTGTATTTCTTTATTTAACAAGCAATTGGTTATTTCAAGAATTTTTTTTATTTATTTTTACGAAGGCTATTTCAAAATTTTGAATAAATTCTCATACAAATTTTCATCAGTTTGGTGCAAAATTCTACTTTTTATATCCCATAAAAATAAAAGCTTGTCATATTAATTATAAGTTTATCACAATAATTAACGTATATAGTAACCGTAAGGGTTGCATGTAAGTAGTTAAAGATAGAAATATAATAAGTAAAATAAAACATTAATTTTGACAAAATGACACATGATTTTTATCATATATTCATAAATTAATATTGACTATATATACCATTACTCTAGTACAATACCTCCAATCATTACTATTTATCTCTTTGCTTAGATTTTTGAGATTAAATGTTGACTCTATATTCACTCCAAATATTTGATAAAAGAAAATTTTTATGCAATTAGCTCTATAAAATCTATAAGTATATTTAAATGAATGTTAGTTAAATTTCGACTTCAACAAAGGTGATAATATATAAATGTAAGAGAAACATAAGCAATTTTCTACTGTAGGACTTGACTGTAACCCCTTAGAAAATTACCTTTTTGTATCGATTTTTCTAACAATTGGTATCGATTGTATTTGCTACCAAAAGCTTTCCCAACGAATGGTTATTCGATATAATATTCGCCATTACCATAGCCTTTAGTAGTGGTTTTCGATATCGCTGGGTTGCCCTTAATAATCGATACGGAAAACTACATCCAATCGTGGTGATTATTGTAGCGATTATAACTGTTATAAATGTTGGAACTCATTTTCTTCAAAAAAAAATCATACATATGATCTTTACAAGATTCAAACATGTAACCTCAAGCTCTAATATTAAATGTTTTTCCAATATGATATGACATATTTTATGTATTCTTTGTCAAACTATATTTGTATATCTAGTGTAGAAAAGACTTTTCGTATTGATTATTGGGTTTTAGTGGCGATTGTAAATGATGCGATTTCTCATAATTTTATAAATGTACAAAAAAAAGGGTTGATATGTATTATTATGTTTTTTGTATCGATTTTATATTTATGGGATTACCATGGCGATTGTAAAAAAATACGATTTCCTCTACTATTTCACAATCATACGTGCATATTGTAACGAATGTACAATCACTACAAAAAATCGCTACGAAAAGATAATTTTCTTATAGTGGATCTAGCCAATAAAGTTTGCATTTTTGCTAATTATAGATAAAGCTCTTAGGGATGCTCATGGAAGTTTAGTGTGAAAATATAAAGTTATATCAAACTTTAATTACACAAATCAGACACATCATACCTTTGTGGCTAACTTAGAGAATAAATTAGAAATAAAAGATCGAGGTTTTGTTGAGAAAGAGACATATATACAACAAAAGCATAGATAGGAATTGGGTGTAATAGAATTGGAATTTGTCACGTTATCTAGTCCAAGATTTCAAGTACTGGTCAATTCATAGTGAAATACCGAACCGTTTTTATTTTTATTAACATATGCTTAAGCGAACAAATATTACAAACTAATTTCGCCCAAAAAAAAAAAAAAAAAAAAATTTATAAACTAATACGGAATAGTGTTAAGCACAAAACTAAAATGAGCTAAGGAAGCTCTTACAAGCTAAGTACACAAAGAGAAATACAAACTAATATTTCTCGCATTCGTTACATGTCAACACTAGAGAAAATATTGTACTGTCGTATTTGTGTTAAGAAGAAAGCAAATAAGCAACAAAAGATGATTTGTCGTCTCAAATCTTCCATGCATGATGCATCAAACATATGTCATACATTCTTTATTTTTATAGCATGAGTTAAAGATTTAAAGCATTTTTATTCAATTATACAAACATGTATGCCGACTCTCAAATAAAAGTGTCTAGTCTGCAGCTAATAACCCGAACCAGGTTAATCTATAAGTTAAAGATAAGTACCTGTTTTACTAATAAATAGGCCGTTCTTCTTACCCACCAAACCTACCAATTAAAAAAAAAAAGGAAGTTCAATTGGAGAGAAAAAAGGGGAAAAATAAGAAAGGGAGGGTTTTAATCAACATGTGAGACTCACGTGAGGGATTAACGCTGGAAAATCATGAAACCGACTTAAGGTTTTATCTCACGGAAAAAAAAATGATTTTAAATGTGTTTTCACGAGAAAATTTTAATTAGATGATTGTGTATTTTCAAAAAAAAAAAAAAGGTGTTATAAAATATGGTTTCTAACAAATTTATATATGCCATAATGTGAAACCCCTTATGCACGGGAACACACCATGTAAACTTGCAAAGCGCCCTCTTTTTCTTTGGCAATTAAAAATCAATCTCAAAACAACCGTGAATATAAACAAGTATCAAATTTTTAGTTAAATAATCTATCATATGTCATCATAAAATTTGATTGGCATCCATCATGATAATTTTCGAATAAAATTTGTAAATTGATTAGTTAATTATCAGAACGATAAATAAGCTGCTTATATATTATAAATGAAAAGAACAAGCTCTTTATTTTATTTATTTATTTATTTATTTATTTCTAAGCTTGTTCATGAACATTAGCAAATTAGTAGTTCATGGACATAATCAAACAAATTAAATCAACTTATATATATGAACTAGCTTAGTAAAGCGTTGTTCATTTATTTAATTAGCAAACACAAACCAGCTTTGTCGAACTCAATGAGGTGGTCAGTATTTTCTATTTGCTTTGATAAGCGTTGTTCATTTATTTAATTAGCAAACACAAGCGTATTTTCTATTTGCTTTGATAATCCGTATTAATTAATCATTTATTTAATTAGCAAACACAAACCAGCTTCTATGTGTTTTACGATAGCAAAAAAAAAAAAAAGTAGTTTTTGAATTATTGTTTCACATTACCGTTTTTCGAAAATTTTATTTTACTAATTCAACTACTGATTTGCGTCAAACTTTATTTTGACTATTGTTCAAAATCCGGCAATGAGGGTATAATTTGGTCTAAATTTGTCATCAACAAATTCACAAGATTGAATCCACGAGTAATTTTTTGTCTAAGCGTTAGCTCATTCTTACATTGATCAAGAAGGATGTACATTGCGCCGTATCCACCTACCTACAAAGAATAGAGGTACTATTCTTTTATACTTTCAATGAGGTTTGTTATCATTAAATGTTGCTATTGTCTAAAAAATGTGATCAGCCTGCAACGATGACGAATAATGTGAAGGAAGACCTATGTGCCGCGCTCTACGTGTTGTGTGCAAGCTTTGTTGCGTGTACTGCGTGCAGATTCAAATTTGGAAAGATATGATCGAAGAGAAAAACAAGAAAAAGCAGGCAAGATACGCATTACTACAAATTAATGATGGGTTGATAACAACCAATTGTCCTTTGAGGGGAAGACCTTAGTGAAGGGCTTTTGTTTTTTTTTTTTTTTTTGAGGGGAAGAGCAAAGACTTAATCATTCATAGTTAAAGTATCCATGAGTACATAGGAGGAGATTTCTACAGGCACACAATTTTCCCAAACTACGAATTTGATGGTTAAACACTAGACTGTAACACCCCAAATCTCCCTCTACGGAAATACTAGTGTAATACGTATAATTATATCGTAGAGATAGACTTAGGCGTATTACCGCCGCGTGATTACGCAAGACTACTAAAAATACTTAACTCAATAACAAAACTTGGAGCGGAAACTCAACTTTCTTTTATTAATATTTATAAAAATAGTAACATTGTTATGAGTACTCAAAATAAAGACAAGACCAACATTCCTAAACTAGGTGAAGCAAATACCGGAACTCCCATATGCTCATTCATGACTCCACTTGAAAATAGTCAACACTTACGGTAAACAGGGCGAACCAAAGCAAATAGAAAATACGGATTATCAAAATATGCTAAGTACGATAAGTACAAGATAAGTAAATTCAATTTATTTGCAAACATGCTTTTAAAACCAATTCCAATAATTAATCCAATGAATTCCAAAACTCATGTTTCAAAACCAATTCTCAATAATTCAATAATTCGATGAAACGATTTATAAAACCAATTCCAATAATTCAATATTTCAATAATCAATTCAATAAAACCAATTCCTTTTTTAAAAAACCAATTCCTCACGCAAGTATGCACACCCCCAATCTATTCTCCTTATACACTACAAGAAAAAGGCCACAAATTTCCGACGGACACAAAATTCTGTCGGAAATCCTATATATTCCGGCGGATTTATATTCCGTCGGAAATTTCCGACGGAATTCCTACGGAATACAAATCCGTCGGAATATATGGGCATTCCGACGGAATTATTTGTCGGAAAATGTATATTCTGACAGAAATAAAATCCGTCGAAAGTTTCCGACGGAATATTCCGTCGAAACATAAATTTTCCGACAGAATTAAAATCCGTCGAAAATTTCCGACAGAATATTCCGTCGGAAAACTAATTAAATAATAAAAAAAAACTCTCTTTAAAACCTAAGAAAACCCTAAAAACCATACTCTTTCTCTCTCCCCGCCTCCCTTCTCTTTCTCTCTCCTCTCTTCTTTCCTCTTCCCCTCTTTCTCCTTCCTTTCCTCCCTTCTCCTTCATCGTTCGGCGCACGCAACCTTCCACTTCCCTTCTTTCTCCTTCCTCTCCTCTTCCCCGTTTCTCTTTCCTCTTCCCCTCTTTCTTTTTTTTTTTCATTTTCTTTGGCAATCAAAGATAATTTCAAGATATTCAATGGCAACTCATGAAAATCAAGGTTTTCATGTCAAATTCGACCATGAAAACTCTAGATCTAGAGTTTTCATGATCGAATTTGACCTTATAAACCCAATTTTGACGTTTTTTTTTGTTCAAATTAAGGTATGTTTC